ATAAAATAGTAGTTCAATAAAATTTTGAATGTGAGTCAACAAATGTGATGACATGGCCTTTGACCCATGACTTGTGTGGAGAGGGTTAATGGGACTTGGGCTCAGTTGTACGTTTTGTTATTGTTTTTGAACTGTTAGAAATTTCTTTGTTTTATCATCTCCTCTTCCTTTACTGTTGACATCAGACAGAAGATGCTTTGATATTTATATCCAGATTGAACCTTCCTACCTAAACCTTGGACTGTGAGAGAAGAAAACCACTGTTTCATGGGTATACTTTTTATGTCCAGTTAGTGGTATTCATTGTTCTTTTGTTCATACTAAGTCTTTCAGAATGGCAACAAATTGGTTTGTATAACTGGTCCATCTTGATTCCTTGATGTTCCTGAACACCTTAAAAGTAAATTTCATGTTACACATCACAATATTCTTCATCTTGCAATGTATTCAGAGTCACAGTTGCAGTATTCTGCAGAGCAGCATGTGGACAAATTCAAATCCATTCTTCAAATTTTACTTGGATCACATTGATATTGGGATTCTTCTCTATTACCAGCATAATTGTAATTTAAGTCCACACCTGTGATGTACATGGAAAACCAGGTACTGCTTAACATCCCCTTTTTAAAACAACAGGGCATGTTTAAGGAGAGGCAATATTCAATTACCAAAACAAAACAAAAAAATCATGGTTTCTTGTCAGGATTTTGCATGTTACATTTCTCCTAGACAAATTCAACTCTTTGTGCTGGTGTTCCATGACAAGAGTTTATTCTCTGAAAGGGGACAGAGAATGCCATCTGGAGGCTGATGATGCCGTAAGAAGATACCTTTCCCACCTATGTATGCATTTTCTTATGTAGCATTTGAGACGTCAGAGACAAGATACCCCATCTCCATATTATTTGTCATAACTCCAACCAGGATGGGGAACACCTTACATTTTTATTTTTTAGCTTTATTTGGTGTTCCATTTGCACTGTCTGAGAGTTTCTAAACCATTTAAAAGAAAAAAGATTGATCTTTTGTTTCAGCCTAACCAAGGTTTACTAATGAGTAGTAGTATATTCACAGGAACTGGTTCAACCCTTTTACTTACTACTCACCAGAAAGTTATGAAAAACACTTCAAAAATCACTTCTAATAATAGGATTATACTTCAAAAGTAACATAATAAATTAACCTTACAGTCTTTCATCTGAAATTATTATACTTGTTAAACTTGAAATTTTTTTAGAACTTTTCCTCTTGAAATTTAATTAGTGTAAATTTATTTTCTGTGTTTATAGTAATTACTTTTTGCAGAGAGTCTAAGCATATTTGTATCACAGTAGTAGTGTGAGTTTATCTATACAATACTTATCTGAAGCACGTGACAGTAATTGTTATCTTGTTCTATTGGATATTTCTTGTGTACGCCCCCTTATCTTAAGTAATTCATGCAGTTTGGGAGTTTCATTTAGTTAGTAAGACCTGATTTTTTTCTCTCTTACCTATGGATCTTTTGAGGTAAAATTTAAATTTATATGAAGCAGAATAATTAATTAATTATTTCTGTAAATAGTTTTTACTTCTTAATGAAGTTTTTATTTTTAGTATATGAATATGTATGTTGTAGTTTAAAGTTGAGTATATGGAAATTTAATTTTTTAACTAAATCTCATGATCTGCTAAGTAAGACATTGTACATCCAAGTATAAACCTGTGTTTATGTGCTATAAGTCCCAAGTTTGCACACTCATTTCAGCATTTACCAGTTGCACCCTAAACTTAAAAAAAGTGTATTAACTATTAACATCCTATATAACACTAAATGTCATGTTGCAGATCATTTATCTGAATGGTGTATAGTTTTGAAATGTGGGAATGTGTGTGTATAAAGGGTAGAGGCAATGGATAAAGAAGAGTAAACTGTGGGAAATAGCAGCAAGACTTAAAGATAGAGCAAAAGATACAGTGGTTAACCAAAACTTTCTGGAAGTAAAAAATAGCACTAGTAGAGCCAGTAGTAGTGGATTTAATTATAATGAGTAGGCTCTAAATAAGGAACTAGGGGAGGGAAGAATAACAAAAGGGAACAGATAGGAATGGGAATGAAAAACTTGAGGAGGTTATTATTATAGATGATTATGGATATGGCACATGGATAGGATAATCTGTGGGGTAAACAGGGAGAAAATAATTATATTATGCTATCCAGGAGCAGGGGGTGGAGGATATAACCAACAGAACAAGTAATATAGTAAAAGGAAGCTAGCAGTGATGAATTCATTTTAGTGCATAGGGGGTAATGATGTAAAAAAGGGTAGGTCAAAGGAGATAATTATTAAGTTCAAAGCCACAATAACTTGATTCTTTCTGCGATACTGCCCAGACTTAATTGTGGGAATGAAATTGTAAGTAGGTCCCTAGGAGTGAATGCTAGGCTTAATTTAGTTTAAAATGTGTGCAATTTATTTTATAAGAGAAAATATTTTCTATTTTACAGTTTTCTGTCTGGCTTTAAAACCTACTTTAAGTTACTTTACAACTTTAAAAATATGCACCCAAAGGGAAATGTTTCTGAATAATTGAATAATGCTATATTTTCAACTTAAGTGTTTAAAGTAACACTGCTTGAAAAGATTGGCATAGCTAATAAATTTTAATTATAGCTGCAAAGTAATGATTTTAAAATGTATAACAATACTTTAAAGCTGAAAGGATGGTTGAGAGTTGCATGGCTTAAGGGATATATGTACAGTAGGAGTACAAAGTCAGTTGATCTTTTATGTTATGTGATACATTTCCCAACTACTTATATTTGTGAACATAGAATGGCTGTCAAGGCTTTGGACATGGTCTGTTATAAAAGTACCAATTTTTATATCATTTTGTTTCAGTTACATTAAGCAGGATTGATTTGTATTGAGCAAATTGGAAGGCCTATGTTTAACAGTTTATATTCATTTGGTCTCCAGTTACTATAATCTTGTGTCTACATTGTTCTAATTTTCATAAAATTTGAATCACGAAATTAACATCAAAGTGCATGTTAATATAAAGCAGCAAAATTTAATACTATATTAATCAACTTAATTGTAATTTGTCCCCACAAATTTGATTAAAAACATGAAAGATATATAAAAAACACTTCTAAGGAGTTTGTATTTGATGATGTGTGTATATCAGAGGGATTGCATTTCAATATTAAATCTAATCTTTTGAATGTTATGTAGCTTTCAAATGATGTTCAAAACACATATCCTACATTGTTTCTTTCAAGGATTTCAAGGGATTGCATTTCAATATTAAATCTAATCTTTTGAATGTTATGTAGCTTTCAAATGATGTTCAAAACACATATCCTACATTGTTTCTTTCAAGGATTCCTCTGTATTATATCTTGGTGCTGGCTTGCTTTATAACTGCAGTACTTGCAGAAAGGAATGTTCAAGTGTGCACAGAAGAAACAGAAAACTATGGTAAGTTAATAATGATTTTGTTTAGCTTCTTTATAAGTGTTGCATTGTTACAGGTACTTATTTTTCAGGGTTTTTTTTTTCTTTTTTTGGGGGGGAGGGGGGAATATATCTGTATTTTCTATCTAAAACAATTTTTGCAAACAAGCAGACATTTTACCCATCCAAATTTGTGCACACACTTTAAAGAAATTTTTTATAACAGGCTCTCTTTTTTCTTTTGAAATTTAAACAGTCATATTTTGCAGAAAAGCATGTTCATAGATATTTAGTATGCTAGTTTTTAATTTGCACATATACTTTGAAAATCTTAAGTTTTATGGCTGATGAATTTGAAACAAAAATCTACTTGTACACTAATCAGGCTGTCTGCCTAAGTTTTACCTAAAGGTTACTTATTATTTTTCCAAATACATTACACAATGGGCATGTAATGTCTAGGAAATGTGCCAGATTCCAAGATCAAAAGAAAGTTTACCTTGAATGACAGAAGAAGAAAAAATGTCCAAGAGTTCAAGTGTAGTTAATGTGAGAACCATGAAAAGCAAACCAAGGTTATAGTTCATAATGTCAGTGAGATCTGGATACTTGATCAAATTTGTGTGCTCTTCCATGTCAGTAGGCATATGAACATCAACTGTTGCAATGATTTAAACATTTTAGGCATGTTTTCTGAGCTATCTGTCATCAGCCTTCTTACTTTTTAGTTTTATTAAAATATATAAACTTGTTGTGTGACAGTTAGTCCATAGTTTATAATTGCACTTCTGGGTTGGACAGTTAAATTAAGCAGACCACATCTTTGGTAGGATATTCACAGGCATTTTTCATTCTAATCCTGAACCATTAGTGGTACATTTTCCATCATTGTTCTCTGCATCACAGCTTCTCCCCTTTCCATTGGACTGTTCACCACCTTTCTCACTTTTTCACTTGGCTCTTTGACAATGTTTTATCCATCATTTCTACCAATGCAGGCTATAAGGCAGCATTATCCAGTTCTTTTCGTTTTTACCATTTTCACTCTATCTGTTTCTCTTCTGTTTCAGTCCTTTTGCCTTCTTGGAATCTCATTGTTATCCTTCATGCCTTACTCTTCCTCCCTTTGAGTTTTTAGCTTCTTGTTCTTTGTACCTTCTTTCCCTCAAGACTTATTTTTTACTCCTTTTTTGCATGTGAACGTCATAGGTCAGACAAGTTTCCTATTGAAGTTTTATACATATTTTTACATCATTCTTATGTTCTTCTTTATCCCAATATTGCTTTTTCCCAAAAATGTCTGCAGCAAAGGGGGAAATAACACATTCACCCCTATTTTCCTTCCATCTATTGCTCATCTCTAATACTGGTCAGATACTGATTGTCTTTTTTGTTCTATGTATGGCTCCTTTTTGTGGTTCCCATTCTGGATGTTTTATCCTTTGGAATTCTTCCCCTACCATAGAACTCTCTCCTGTTACCTTTAGTGGTTAGCTCTGTCAAATTATTGGTCTGGCTTATGATTCTTTGGCCCAAAGATTCTCATTGTATCTTCCAAGTTTCCTTTCACCCAATCTGTCATCTCACCCTTTCCCTGGATGCTCACTTCTGTTGTCCATTATAGGAGGTCATGTAGGCTTTAAATTGGACTACATCTCATATGTTTGTCAAGCATTACCTACATCATTTGGCCATCTGTTCCTCACCTGGATATTGTTTGTCATCCATTGCCATTCTCCATGCTACACACAGGCTCTCAATGGGTAAGTTTTAATGTTTTATCTATTTTACCTTTACAGTGACCATTTTTACATCCCTGATCTTGCTCTGTGGCAAGTGTTGCCTTTCCAGGTATACTTAACTTTAAATCTGCACCAGGAGACCTTTAGAATCTATAACACTCACTGATGATATGGAGTTCCACAAGACTGCTCGGTAGTTTCTTGCAGTATCTTGCTTCATAAATAATGTATGTTCCAGACCTTACCAACTCATGGACTATCATAAGTAAAACATTTTAAAGATTGCTGCCTATCCATCTGGTCCTAATTGAATAAACTGGAACAAGCCTGCTTTTCAAAATAGGGATTTTGTGGTCACATATTACACAGTCTTAGGGTGTTGCATTCCTCCAGTCTCCTCACCACATTTTACTCCCTCTTCTAGTGGAGTATGGGAGTCCTTTCCACTTACCAGTTCCACTTACTGGAGTGTTCCTTTTGAGTGTGACCACTTCTTCTCAGTTGAGGTTAGGGCTGTGGTGTTCTGTTGATGTAATTAGTGAGTGCTCTCCTCTTACTGTGGATAATAATTCACATACCTGATGCCACTTGGTTTTGGGCTGGAATTGACCCACCGAATACCATCTAATGCACCCTAGCTCCACTACACCATGTGGTGTGTCCATTTACTGGTTGCACTTAAGGCTTTTTTCCCCGGATTAGTGACGTGTATCTTTACAATGGGTGATAAGTATAACCTGGTACAGATGTGGTGCAGTCTCCTGTGGGTGTGATCCTATATATTAAGGTATCAAACTCCATGGGTTCTCTTTGGATGCCTTCTGAAGAGTGATCATCTCAATAACTTTTGCACTGTTCCCTCCACCATTTCAGTATGGGATTCTAGCTATTATGTGGAGCTAAGGTGTCATATTGAATCTAAAAATTTTCCAATGCTGAAAATGTATTTCCAGTAGATTCCTTCCTCCACTCACACTTCCTACCCATCCATTCCACTTCCAGTTTCCCTTTTTTTGTCTAGTCTTGAAATATAGAAAGAGTTCAGCTGTGCTAGGAGGATGTGTTTCACTCTTATTGGTGGAGGGTTGTCAAATGCTCATTTATATGCTACAACACAGCTATACCGTGTGAAGTTAGGTGGGAGACTCAACACTAGTGATGAATGAAAACTTGTGCAAACAGAGGATAGTACAAATCAAAGATATGCGAGAAGAGGTATCTATAGGAAATACATTTTCAGTGTTGGAAAATGTTAACTTCAGAAACACTAAATATCACCAGATGTATATTGTATCCCTTATATGGTTTCTTCAAGAGTATTCAGAATGTTTTATTGAATAGTAATAATAATAGCTTAGTATTGTCTGTAATGCTTGAAAGTTATTCTTTAACCTAGTGGTCAGTCATGTTCTTCCATTTTTCAGTCTCTTCTTGAGTCATTATTCTTTTCTTTATCTGTCCCTTTTGTTGTTGTTGTTGTTGTGTTACATTTTTTTTCATGTTTATAGGTTGAGGATGACCTTGCTATACTACAGATCAGAAAGTCTGAGATTCAAGCAGTAAATAAGTAAATAAGCTTTTTTTTTTAGCCTACAATTCCCTGTGACAAGTATACTGTTGCATAAAATTTGAGTTGCAATGAGCAAGTTAAGCTGCACAACTGAATTGTGCACAGCAATTGTAGGTTGTCCTAGGCAGGCATTATTTCAACCTATAATCAAATGTAGCAGTTATCCAGAAAAACAAGGTGTTTGTACAAAAAAAATTGTGTACAGCAACATATTTCATTTATAGTCATTCCATATTTTTACGCTTATTATTCTTATTTTACACTCCTTATTCTGATTAGTAGATATTTGTTTCATTCATGTCCAGCTACATAATACAACAGCAGCATTATTTAAAGGATTTATTTGTTTAACACATTCAATGCTGAGGACACACCTTTTTATGTTTAGCATTTGTTCAGGTCTGCTCACGCATTTTAAGTACAGAAATGTAAAGATTACATGTTTTAGATGTGTTATTATTGCTAATTTTCAAATTGAAAATACAACAACACTAAAACTCTTATCAACACTTACCATAGATGATGCCAACCATTGCAGCAGTTAAAACATATACTCTCCTCATATATATAGAATTCCACTTTAAAATGATGCATATCTAAAGAAATATATTTTGGCTTTGGCTCATATGGCATGTCACATGCTTCTTATAAATAAATTCATAAAAATTTAAAGGGACAAAAAGGAGCTTATTAACCCATTAAGGATGTCCCTTCCAGCTCCCAACTATAACCACTCATTATTACTCATGTATTCATCCAATCATTTCTTGAACACAGTTAAATTTTCTGCCTCCACCATCCTTGAAGGCAGGCTCATTCCAAAAGCCAACTACCCTGATTGAAAAGTAATGCTGTCTAAACTGCAGATGACTCCTGTGCTGCCAAAATTTGAATTTATGCCCACTTGTTCTATTGTTTTCACTGCTAAACACAAGAAAGTTTGATGGATCTATATTATCTATATCCTTAATAATCTTAAACACCTCAATAAAATCCCTCCTAACCCTTCTACTTTCCATAGAAAACAAGCTTAGAGCTTTTAGTCTCTCCTCATAGTACAAGCCCACCATCCCAAGTATCATTCTGGTGGCTCTTCTCTGAACCTTCTCCAACAATTCAATGTCCTTCTTGATGAAAGGAGCCCAAAACTCTAAATGAGGCCTTACAAGTGATCTATATAGTGAAACAATAATATTCCTTTTCTTGTATTCAATATTTCTATAGATGCTACCCAAAATCCTATTGGCCCTACTGCTCGCTACAATACACTGTTTAAATGACCTAACCGATTTTTCGATAACAACACCAAGATCTTTTCCTTCAACTATGGTATTTAAGGTATTCCCATTTAAATTGTAACAATAATTTGAATTGTGAAAACCTACATGTATCACCTTACATTTTGGATAGTTAACCATCATCTGCCACATATTGCCCCAATGCATCAAATGATCTAAATCTCCCTGTAAGTCTGCAGCGTGTTTGATGCAGTTAGCCACCTCAAAAATTTTCATGTCATCTGCAAACTTCAAAACTTTGTTAGTCACTCCAGAGTCAATATCATTAATACATATCACAAACAGCAGAGGACCTAGCACAGAGCAAGGCACATTGTCTGTAACTGTGATCCAGGTCAAGGATTCAATTCCTTTTATATCCTTTTTTGTTATTTTTTTAATAAACAGTGTTTCAGTAGTCAAATAATTTTAATACATACATTGTACACAAAGTACAAGTTTATTCCTTTGGTTTCTCATAATAAAAATGTGCTTAGATAGCCTCTGAAGTACCAGAAATTTCATATTCTAGAGTAATTTTGATGATGTCACCTCAGATATTCAGTAAAGCTACAGCTAATGCTTATGTCATTCATACTACATTAAAAAAAGACATCATATGATCATCCCTACTGGCTAGACTTCTATCATATTATTACAAAAAAAATAGTTAACAATTATTTATATTAGAATCAACACATTTCATTTCTCAAAATACATGATGACACTTTGGAAACATTTGTTAGATATTTGCTAATATTTATCAGTCTCAATCTGTCAAATCATTGATATGGCTTTTTTTATAATGCTGATATCTTGCTTCAGTTATTAAAATTGAAACATGCATATTTCAAAAGTGTTTGCATATTTTGGTGTCTTTGGTAAATTAAGCATTTAAACTATCCACTTCATATACAGAGAGATATGTTAAATGATTTTATATTTGCAAATCAGCAAGTCATGTAACAGCCACAAGTGATGTAAAATATTTAGGGCTGTACCGAAGGGTAGATTTGACCTTTGATGGTTCGAAACACATTGTCCAGTGAAGGTTTGAACCTTAGCTACTAGCATTGAAAATCCTATTATTTTACAGGTAATCCATAGAAATGAAATAAAGCATTCATATGTAGTTTTTAAATACATTACATAAAACAGTAATCATGTTGCTAATAACAATAATAATAATGATATAAAAGCAAGCTATTCATGTACACAATATCTGATGCACTTGTAAGATTCACAGACATGCAACCTTACATTACAAGAGCATCTGGGGGGGGATAGGGCTCTTCTTCAGAATTAAAATAAAGTGATATATATATATATGTAATTATCACTTTTAGCATATATTTTGTGGTATCGTATTTATTCTACCATAACACATCTCTTACAAAGTCTTGTACATTGCAGTTGACATGATACTTAATTTACCCCTATGGTTTACAGTAATGGTCTGCACCAATGCCTACTGATGTTGGCAAATGAGGGATTTTGTTGAATAATTTTCAGGTGTAAGTAAAGGGTATTATACAAATTAAAAGTTTATATTTTGATACATATGAATGACATCCCCCCCCCCCTACTGTGAAGATAGATTTACACCCCCTTCCTTCAGACGAACCTTTGAAGGCCAGAACAACCTACAAAGTCATGAATAGTAAATGAACCCGAAAAATATTCATACTCTTGGATCATAAAGATGTTTTCAGATTTAAATTACACTTTCCAAGATAGAAATAAAGATCATGCATAGAAAAACAAAGGAATATGAAATACTTTAGGGCAGCAGAACCATCCAGAAAAATACATGCAACCAGTCATATCAGCCATTTTAAGCAAAGTGTGGCATTTTTTAATAGGCAAAAGTCATTCACATTTACCAAGCAATAGTACACAACACAGTCAGAAAGGAGCTGGAAAAATGGCACAACTCGCATGTTTACTAGTTGCTTTCAGGAAATATCCATTCAACCAGTGTGTACCTCAGGCAGCTGGAGAATAAAATGGGTATTAATGCTATTCCATTCAAAGAAATACCAGTCAAGTCACTGAACTCAACATCTATGAATTTCTATGCAATTGGCTGTTGAAACAGGCATTCGGATACTATCATTCTCATGCATGGATGGATTATGGAATGCATTTATAGAGGAGCTGTCATGTCAGCCTTACAAAGAAGCTTTTTTACAGTGGAAACTATGCTGCAGTCTATTATCAAGATGCAAGGTCATCATATAGAAAATGGCCAATTTTCACAACTTGAATTAACGAAAGAGATGGGGCCCCAAAATTGTTTTGATATGATGGGTTCAATCCCTGTAATTTATTTTTGAAGGAGTTTTAATATCAAGAAAGTTTTTTATAATATAATGAACTTTCTCTAAGCTGAATTAATGAACACGTGATGAAATTCATTGTGATTGAAAACTATTAAATGAATACACACTTCAAAAATAATATTTTTGTTGTGTTTATAAAAATATGTATTTACATTACTTGTACTGATTACATTCTATACATATTTTGTAATAAGTTAAATAAGTGTAAGATGACTGTTGAGAACAACATAGTTTGAAAGAATTTGGAACTTTTCTCTTAGAAACTTAAGTCTGTGACTTACATTATGTGTGTGAATTACAATGATTTATTATGTCTCTGTCTCTAGATATGTATTGGAATAATTAAGTATTATTTTTTTATATGGTGACATGAGTTAGCCCTGTTATAGAGCTCTGGATTTTGGAGCTGACTAGCCAGGATCATGTCTGCAACATTACAAATTATTTCTTACATTATTAGCTAGGGAAGCATTATTATATTAATATAACTGACTAAAATAGGGGAAAAAAATATTTCTTGTATTTCATAGAAGAATGAATTATCTAAAACCGTTTAAGTAGGAGGAAATGTCACAGGTTTCATGTTAAATTTTGTTTATTGTAATGAAATAAAAATGTGGAACTATGCAAAGTTATATAACGTAAGTATATTAGAACTGTAAGTTATGAGTTATTCCTCTCAAAAAATCCAACAAATTGCAGTTTTGAAAATCTTCTACAATGTTTGGATGTCTAGAGAAAATTTCACATTTCTCACAGAAAGGGAAATTCAGGATTTATTTAAATATTGCCATATAAAATTAAAATTTAAAACTTGTCTACTATTCAAATATGGATTATTAGCTTAGATTTTATACTATATTAATTGGTATAACATAAACAAAAAGTACTTTAATTAAAATTTGAATGTAAGTCACTAAAACCTTGTTATATGCGCATTAAAGGATAGGTGGTGCGAGATGGTTAGATTATTCATTCTTCTACAAAATATAAAAAATATGTTATTTTTTATATTTTAGTCAGTTATATTAATATATGAAGATATGGCTGTGGAGGTCAGTTATTTGGGTGGCGATTTTTCTTCAGGGCCATTGTCCTACAACCATAGAATGATAGTCAACCCCTTATCATGGATGGTGGATGGGAAAGTACTTCTGACTGACTCTCTTTTCTTTTGTCAATAGTTCAAAATTAGAAACAGCAGTAGATAGCCCTAGAAGGTTTGCCATGAATATAAATACTTTATGTATGAATGATAGATACAAAATATATATATTATGGAGAAACTATACAAATAGTAGAAAAACTTCACTATTTAAACATATGTATTGAGTCATGATGACAAGTCTAAGTTTTTGTAATTATATTGATATTATAATCTAATTATTGGAGGTTTTTTTGTTCAATAAATTCTCTGTCTTAAAGGCCCAATACCACCTGTGGTGCCAGAATCCTTTATAGTAAAAGCTGAAGTGGTAGATCATATACTCAACAGTGACACATGGGTTGAGGAGTATTTTGACAGAGCCAACCTGAGAGTCAAGGTTAAGATCACTTCCAGAGGGACTGAGTCACACTTTATTTATGATTACAGCAGTGAGCAAGTCATAGAATACAACATTTTTCACCCTGGAAGTAAGTGTTTGTTTCATTTATCCATATTTTATGAATAACTAGATTAGAGATACTTGTCATACAATGTTTTCAGGGTTAATTTCATAATAATAAGACATAGGTATTTAGTGGTAAAATAAAACAATCTACAATATGAGCCTATGAAAACCTGTAAAACATGTTAAGTCTTATGTTTTGAAAGTAGTTGTATTTTTTGTGAACATGCCTTATAGAACTATTTTGTACTTATCTGAACCACATTATTTATGTATTTTTAATTTTTAAATATATTAAAAACAGGAATTTGTGAAAAAGAGAAAGTTACAGTAAACAAAACCTATAGAAATAGCCTGATAAATTAGTAAGAATTCTTAGGAAAACTTAAGAAAACTGTTTTGGTTCGATTAGTTTGTGATTTTATGAGTAGTTATGGTTAGAAAATTGGTTGTTTTGGCAAAAAAAATTAGGTGGGAAACCTATAATAAAACTATTTTTCTGGACAATTAGCCTATAAAAATATACATTTTCATGTTATAACCAGTTTTTTCTTGAAAATGGACTGGAGGTTTGGTTCCAAAAGTTTAGGCTGCTCCTGTAGCTGACATTTTTTCAGTGTATTGTTTTACTGCATATGCTGAGGAATGGGTTATGAAAAAATATTTCTGACGCTAAGTTATAATTTACAAATGCTTATCTGGTCAGTGAGTTATTAATGGTCTTTGTTTCTGAGAAAGCTTTTAAGCTTTAGTGACAACTTAATAGCTTGAATATATATTTAATACTCATATGATAAATAAATATGTAAAATTATTCCTGATGTAGTTGTTTACATGATTGATTTTTTATTCCAATGTATTATTCATGTAATTATTTAAAAATTATAGCAAATGGGTGTTATGCTATCGAACCTATTTTAGATTCATCTTAGGTATGTTCAGTGAATTATTTTTAATACTGCATCAAAAATATAATCCTGAAAAACTTGGTTTATGATAAATGTTAATTTTAAAACTACTTCTTATTATAAAGAGGAATGAGTATGTTATATCAAAATTGTTTTGAATATGCAAATTAGCAAGTCACATGCAAACCATAGCTGATATAAAGCTATAGCGGAATGGCATTTCAGCATTGTTGTTTTGTTGTAGTGTGTTCCTACTAACAACTGATCATTTTTGAAAATGTTATTAACAGTCCTTTTCCATATAAAATCTTCATACATTCAAGTCATAAAGATATGTTGATAATGAAGATTTAGGATTCCCAAGGTGGAGATATCCCTTGATTTTAATGGCATTGGAAAACAAAGGAATTTGGATCAACTTGGGGTGTCACCAGGACCATCCATAAAGATACCTGCAACATGTCACATCTCAGCTTTGGTAATCAATTTCACATCTTGTAATAGGAGAATCCAGGAACACTAAGTTCTGATACAATAGCTTACCTCCACTCCAGTTTTGTGCTCCCCTCTTTTTGCATTATTTTTTGCTTGCCACTAGCCATAAGACTCCCACCTAAACTCACATTGTCTCCACATACTATTCCTGTGCTGTAGCATGCAAATGAGCAGCGACAACCTTGCACCAATAGGAGTGTAACACATCCTCTTAGTGAACTGACTCCCTCTGTATTTATTGGTCTATCATCACTTTTCAATTTGGCACTTGTGTATTATAATGTCTTTTTTTTTCACTTGTGATCTTTTCAGATATAGGCATTTTTCTAGTGGCAGTATCTACAAAGACATTATCTGTTGTGGAAATATATGTTGTTGGATTTTCATTTTACAGCATTTTCTGCACCTGCAGATTTTGTAGCTATTTAATTCCACATTATCATTTCATAAGTGTCACTAACTTCCACATTATCTGGTGTAAGACAGCAAAACATTTTTCACACCAGTCCAATAACTAACTTGGCATCAGGTTTGTCTTTGTCTGTTGGGAGGGAGTGATTGCTTTTGTGTGGCAGGTGGTGGAGTCTTTCCTGTGGCTTGGACCTTTTTTGTATCTGAAATACCTTTGCCTATGTTTCTCATTTGTGATGAATGGGATTTGGCCAGTTTTTTATCTCACCGCCTACCTTAACCTAATGTTGTACACGTGGCTGTCTTGAATCTACCTAAGTCTTTTTTGTAATTTTAGAACAATTTCTCAGGTATGATTCTATCTCTTTTTCACATTGTAATTTGTTCCCTGCTTCATACTCTTATGGTTTATACTTACTCTACTGATATGCAAGTCCATATTCGATAACCCTTACCATGACTTTGTTGCCTACATGCTTCATTATCCTTTCTTTGTTACCTCCTATGACTAGGCATAAAAATGTGTTATATTACTTTTATTTGACTTCTAAACTCTGGAGTCTTTGCTTCAGACTTTGGGGTCAGATTTGTTATGTTTTGTTCATCTTTCTTGGGCTTAATTTGTCCCACCCCCATATTACACTCTACCTCTTTACATTATATTTCCTCCATTTACCTTCTTTCAATGGTTATCTCCCATTCCCCTGAGGGGTTTTCAGCAGATGCTCATTCATTTATTTTCTCTTCAGTGAGGTGTATATCTTCCTCTACCTTATCACTTCATATTTGGTTGATCTATTGATAGAGTTTGTTGGGGCAGAATGCCCTTGTTACTCAAGTGCTTTTGTTTGTATTTTACTTCATTTACCTTTACCTGGGTCCCTTCATCTGCCAGTGTGATTTTACTGGACTACTTGTTTCTCTGAAGTCATGTGTTGGGGCTGCATGCCAATGTATTCTTACTGGTTTCCATCTTTCCTGTACTCCTTCTTTACCTCTTTCTGTCTACTGTCCTCCTGGTTCCTATCCTCTGCATGTTCCTCTGTTCCCATCCATCCTCCCACCACTCATAGACTTTAGTGCTGTCAGTCTTGGCAGTGACTATCTTATTACCTCATGGTCAATAGGGCCCACTTAGTTTGGTTTGTGGACCCTTGACCTCCATTTGTGACAAATTTTGGGGTACTGGAAGCTCTTTCAATGAGCCTCACCCCACTTTTTTTTTCCTCTCCTCCTCTATTGTCTCCTGTTTTTGTTACTTTCCTTCCTTCAAAAGATTTTGTTTCTTGCCAGTGTTGTGTCAATCAGTGGCAGTTTTGACCTAATGGCTAAAGATGCTATCAGACAGGATTTTCATCCTTTTCCAGGATTTTATTCCTGTCTTTTCACTATTCCCAAGGGATCCATAAATAGAAATGTGGTCAAAGATATTTCGGGTCTCAGTCAGTTTCTCAAACCTCCCTCGATATAACATGGGGACTTTTCTTGCCCTGTAATGGTCTTTTGCTCCAGGTCTGGGAGTGGCTGAGGTGGATGTTTATTTTTTCATTTGGCTTCATCTCAATGAGCCTCTTCCAGGCATCCTCTTCTCCTCCTCCTTCAGGAGGTGGCACATTTAGGTTAGTTGGTCACCCTGGAAGAGTCGCATCTCACATCAACTCAGTACCTCATTAACTTGGATGTTATCCATTCACATCTCCACAGGACCCAGCTTTCTCCTCTACAGTTAAGGAATATGGTGTGATTAGTTTACCCATGCCCTATCCTCTCTTTCTCTAGCTGTGCATGAGGTTCTCTCTCTTTTGGGGACTTAGGCTTCCCTGGAGTCCCTTATTTGCTTATTTGTGACTACTATGGATTCTAATTTGATGACGAGGAACCCACTTTGAGAATAATAATGGTTGGAGATGGCTTGAATGGGTAATGAAGAAAAATTTTAATACAAGTTTAACATAACAGCAAATGTACAACATTTTGACAAGGTTTTGATATGTGCTAGTCAAGCTGATGATGAATGCCAGTCATGAAAATATGACAGTGTGGTAATTGCCAAACTGAGGTTGATATGAAATCAGTGAAACATAAAATTGTGTTTTTTTGTTTCCAATTTTTGGTGGTTTACATAGTATAGTGTTTTTCAGCTGTGTTATCTTTTATTTTGCTTCTTTTTTTTTTATTGCTTTCACATGATTTCCATTTTCCAAATTTCAATATGATGATAAGACAGCATGATATACTTTGTATGTTTATAGCTTTAAAACCTTTCTTTAGGTCGTGCTAAGGATGATCCACTTTCTTTATTGACATGTTCCATATATTCAATGGATAGTTCTCCTTTGACTGTTTATCCTGGATATCATTCTGGAATTTACAATACAAAGGATTCTCGAATGGTTACGTCATATGAAGCTCTACACTTTGGTGGACCGTACAAATTTGCATTCAACAGTAGTCATAGTGATGGATACGATGGAAGAGGCATTCCAGTTAATAGATTTCGTGGATGTGTCTATGACAAGTGGTTAGATAGCACATTCCAGAGTTTTTATGACTGGTCAGGTAAGATAAAAATAATTTAAAGCCTATTTCAAAATATAATCTTTCATTTAAATTAGTAAGGTGACATTATTTTTAAAAACGTTTGTTTGCATTTCAACTAACATTCAGTGTATTGATGTGTTTAGTATATTATTTATTCCTTTTGCTTGACATTAGAGTACAGCACAATACATGTTATTTGTGCTACAAATTATGGGAACTTTCAGTATGATTGTAGATATTTCTGATATGTTTTTCATAAAAAATATAAGTGTAAATATTTATCTTTCTATCTGAATTTGTGGAGTTTTTAGTAAATAAGTTTCTGCATTATACCTTTTTGTTATGCAGTATATTTATATTGCAATTGTATATAAGTATTATACATATAATGTTACAATTTTCTTGAGACGAATAAATTACAGTATCAAACACTGCATCAAGAAGCTTCATATCAATATTAATATATGTTTGTATTCATGATCATTTTTTTCTTGCAACTATTGTAGTTGGAGGAACACTGTACTAATTGATTAATGGTGGCTGTTACTTAATTTATAAGCAAATACTACTAATTGCTCAGCTCTAATGCTAGTAATTTGTTTTTAACTCCGCTTTTTTGGTAATTTTTCATAAATTCCCTACACTCTTTTAATTTGTAGAAATCGGCATTTTCTTAAAGTTGAGCTTTTTTTTTATTTCTTCAGAAAAACCAATATCACAACTGTCAATTATTTTAAGTTGACATTGGAGTCACACTGTTTAACCCTCTCTGTACCTGTGAATACCTTTCAGGCAAAAATAATAATTCTAACTCTGTTTCAAAACCTTTTACTCAAAAATATTTTAGAATTGATATTTTGTCATTTTGTATCATTTAGTTATTCACAAAGAAGCTAAAATATGTTAAAATTGCATTTTTGCACAGTCTGTAAATAATGCATTCATTGATTTTATTAGAACTTTTCTGCTATGAAACTAACATCCCTTGAGAAATATATTCTTCAGTTTTGTTTCTCACGTGATTTTCTTTTTCTGCTAATTGCATTAGTACAACTTCTCATTCACACCCCTTTATTACATCACAGAAAATGATCTGAACAACTACTAAGGAACTTCAGCTTTGAAAATACCTACAATCAAAGTTTAAATACCATTAGATGGAGCAGAATATATTTGTATACTACATTCATTAATGTAGATTGAATTAATTTGTCTGAAAAGTAGTTTTTGGTTTCCTCAGAAAGTGACAAGGCCTAACCCTTACAGAGAACAATATCAAAAATTAATATAAAACTTAGAAGACTTAAGAATAAACCACAGATGTGGGAAAATTTTTAATTTCTTTGGACATATTTTCATTCTTGAAAATGTTTTTTGTGTTACAGAAATTGTCTTGTATGACAGGACATTAGGTTAACCAATTTAATTTTATAGAGTACAATAGCCAATAGCAAAATATTCCAATGACTCAGATGTGACTAAAATACTTACTTATTGAATATTATTGTTACGTTTATCTTAACCACACAATAAACATAAATAAAGGAATTCATATGTTATTGTAAAGCATAATTCCGATACGATATCTTGCCTCTCACGAAAAACTTTTCTCAACTTACACTGCCCTGTATTGGCAAATATTTTCACTCACCAATAGCCTTGATACTCCCTATTACCCTCATGTATGTTAACATGAGACATCTGTATTCTAACATGCAAATGATTATGCAACAACCCTCATCAATAAGAGTGCGACACTACCCTTATCTTAACCAGCACCCTCTCTAAGATTGCACCCCTTAATCACTTGCAGTTCAGACATGTTTTTGCTTGTGTTTTCAGACTGATTTATTTTTGCTTAATTGCCAAAGTTTACAGTTTAAATTCTCTGGGGCAAGTTTTTTAAATTTGTGCAGTTTTGAGTACTTTTTTTTTTCTCTTTATTTTGTCTTGTCAACTCCACTCATCATTTATGTGCAATTCCATGTGGCTTCTACCTCATTGGCTGTAACTACTACAGCTGTTTTGCCCTGAGTTGGCTACATTTTTGCAGACTTCTGAGCACCTGATGATTGTCCTCTTTTACCTTGTAATGCTTAGCATGTACATAACAATGAAGATTTGAGCTGCCTAGTTCCTCCTCCTGCCTATGACTCACAGTTGCGTATCATTTTGGGGTAGGTGTCCAGGCCCCTCTGTTCCCTTTGGTAGACCTATTCGATCAGGTATGATATGTTTTCTCATTCCCTCCTGTATCGTTTCATTCTATTCCTGTCTTTCTCAGTGACAAACTGTGGAGTAAATTTTAGTGTTCCCTGTATCGCTCAGGTTATTGGGGTTCCAGAGTGTAGTTTTGGGGATAAGTTAAGTTCGGGGTACATATACCTCACCCTACCCCTACATACTATGGATGACTATGTTCTGGCATGTAATTGTTCTGGCTACCCTCCATAGACTTGCAGAGATTGGAGTAGCTTGTCCTGTTATGGGGATCAGACCCCCTTAATTTGGTTTTAGAGTATGGCACTTTTGTTTTGTACCAAGTGATTTTTTTTGGAGCGGTGTGTTCCCGAATCTTGAGAGCCCACAGTTGGATCAGTCCTGTTGCATAATTTCACTTAGCCTTTCTTTTCTGCCAGACCCACCTTGTCCCCGCTCCTCTCCCTGGTCAGTTCTGGCCTCCCAAGTGTTTGCAATTTGCTGTAGATCCTTGGTGTGCTGTTTTTGGGGCAACCAGCAGTTTTGGTGACTTTGGGGGGTTCAGTTCCAATGAGGGCTAGGCTCATGTCCCCTCAGAGGGACAACATTATATATATGGATTTCTAACACTAGGGTGGAAGTGGCAATTGGCCTATTTTGGCTTTGCACTACATTATACAAACATTCTTACTCCATCAGACACGGTACAATGTTTTAAACAGCTTTGCCCTAATTTGGAGATAATTTCACAGATCCTTGGGTTCTGAGGTGATTACAACTGGCCTGGTTCTTTTTAGAATTTCCCTCTTCCTTGGGTTTCCATTTCCAGTCAGGGTATTTAGGAGGTGGTTTGGGATTTGCTTTGCAAGGGTGCCATCATATGGGGAGATACCTATATTTGGGATTCTTATTCCCATCTGTTTGTTGCCCCTCTTGAAGTTAGGGGACTGGTTCTCTATCATTGCTCAGTCGATTCTGTACCATTTATTAGGCCTTTCACATTTCACCATGGGGTCATAACTAGCTCTTTGTTGGGTTTTCCCTACTGGTTTGTGGAGGATGAAGGTGTTGAGTCAGATGCATTTCTCCTCGTTAACTTCTCCTCTGCATTCTGATTTTCTTTAGTTCTATCTGGGTTGTATATTTTCAGTCTGGACTCTGTTGAACCTCTCCTCAGATCTTTACACTTTGGATGGTCTGGATCTTTGCCCATCTTGTTCTTTTCCAGTAGTCATCATTTCCACCAGAGCATGGATATGTGGCTTTCTTACAAGCTAGTTCTGCCTTTTCTTACTTATTTCTTCTAAGAGCAGAGGGTCATGTTGACTGGTTAGTAGGAGTGGAAACATTTGTTTTTTTCTTCAACCTATGCCATACCTTGTTCATCTTGGCATGTTGTTTTATTCCATACTCAGTTTGGCCCAGTCTTCTCCATTTTTGATTTAGAGCTAGGGCAATTCTAGTTTGTAGCCTCTCCTCCTCTACTTCTCCATTTTGCATGAGGTTCTCTCTCGTTTGGAGTTGTGTACTTCTCTGGAAGCCCTCACTTTTCTTGGTCAAGTCCTCCTGTGATGTCTTATGTGAGTTTGTTGGTCCAGAGAAGCCTCGTTTTTGGATCCCTTGGATGCTGTCTTCATATTTCCTTCCAGACCAACTTTTACTGGTTGGCTGGATTGGGTCAACACCTTTTTTGGATGTTCCTCCTCCAAGTCATCTCTTTTTCTGGATGCTCCCCTTTACGGTTGGGAAGATTTTATGGTTGCTCAGGAAGTTTTGGGTCAGTGGTCTCTCTCAGAATCCTCTTGCCTTTCCATACCTGTGGGCTCCTAGCAGTTCATTGGGCTCTGGTTATCTTCATTCTGGCCCTACAGGGATGGTTGGTGGTAGAGTTTTCTGACTACTCATGTCTAGTCTCGTACATATTCAGGCAAATTGACACTCAGTTATGGGACCTCTGGTGTAGACCACTGGTCCTCCTGTGTTTGGCCACGGCCATCAAATTCTTGTGCTGGCTTGCCATATTCCAGGTGCCCTGTATCTTGATGCTAATCATTTATCACTGCCCAGTTGGGGCTCTCCCCTGTTATGGGGCACACACTAATTCCTTTCATGGTGACTGCTCCCATTGCTTCTTCCTTGGGATCATTCCCAGTTGTGTAACCAATATCCAGTTACCATTATGGTTGGATTTGACTGGCTTATTTTTCCTTTATCCAGATTGATTTTGTATTTTCTGAGCATTTTCTTTCATATTAGTCACTTCATCCAAAAATGTTGTTAGTAAAAATATTCTTACCTAGTATATCTACCTGATATCATTTTGAAAGGTGGGTCCCTAGGTTATTGATAAGTCTGTTAGATTCTGCATTTTTTTTGTGATTTATATTTGGAAGTAGTGGCTATTGCAGTTAACAAAATAAAAGTTTCAAATGAAATAGGTGTGGAGGATAAGTTAGCAAATTGGATAGAAGAGTAGCTGGTTGGAAGAAAGCAGAGGTTTGCTACAAATGGAGTTCAGTCAAACTGGATTAATGTCACAAGTGGCATACCTCAGGGCTCAGTCTTAGAACCTTTGCTCTTTTTGATGAACATAATGACATTGATGAAGGAATAGACAATAAATTACATAAATTTGCAGATGATATTAAGGTCTTTAGCTATTTAGCTGCGAAGAGGATGCTTCTGATTTACAAAAGGATTTAGATCATTTATTGAGTTGGGCAAATAAATGGCAGATGGGTTATAATTATAATAAATGCAAAATAATGCATGTGGGTGATCATTGATTACTTCATTATATTCAGTTTACCCATATAAAAAAGTGCTGAATATCAAAATACTCAAAAGAACAAAATCTTTCCTGGACAGAAATCTAACAAAAAGCCCCCTATCATCAAGAAATTCCATCCCATATGAATAACTGACACTACAGTTGGCTGATGTAGTAAGCATTTACTTCATCCTGTTTTCTCTTTCTATAAATTATCTTATAAATAAAGGCTGAATTTTTATTTCTCATATATTTTATTAATTTATCTAAAATATTAATTTTTTCTCGCCCTCCAGTGGCACAGTGGTATGTCTGTGGACTTACAATGCTAGAATCTGAGTTTCGATACTTGTGGTGGTGAAGCACAGATAGCCCATTGTGTAGCTCTGTGCAAACAAACAAAAACTTTTTCTCTCTGTTAGTGTTTAATAATGTGGTATACCTCTTGATACACAATATGTTGTTTCACATTTGTGTACTTTTGAAATTTGTTCTTATATTTTATGCTTCATTTTTGAGCTTCTTTGTGTAAGTTAAAGTGCTCTCTTGAAAATAAAAACATAACCAAAAAAGTCTGAAATAAAAATATAATGCATATTATTTTAGACTTAAGTCCATTAACTTAATTTTTCAAGGATTTTTACTTTTCTAGCATGCATTAGATTCTTTAAAAGTACTGAATACTTAATAAGTTATTTAGTTTTTACACCTCATATTTTATACTTTAAACAAATTTACTCAAAAGTAACTAGGAAGTCAAATAGTAAGAATTAATTTTTTTGTTTTTTTTAAACAGACAGCAACGCTATTCCTCCCAGCGGAGACATTGAGGTGCCTTTAGCCAACAAGATAAATGGTGGAATTTATGTAAAGACTGAACAACATCAGAAAATGTGGATTGATGTAAATATTACATCCAATGTTGCTTGGTTCAAGGGAAATCCTTCTTTTAATGACCTAGACTTTCAGGTACTGCATTTATTCTTGTATGATAGTACTTCAGAGAATATCAGTTTTTTTTTAGTTTTTTAGTTGTAAGCATATGTTAAGTGTTAGTAATCATATATACTAATAATGGGCAATACCAAACTTTTATAACATTTAAGGGGAAAAAGGGGCATGTTGATCCCATCAACTTAAAGGTTGCATTAAAAAATTTGACTAGGCAAAAAACAGGTAAGATGATTCTGAATAGAAAAAGTCAATCTGCTCTCCAGACTTTTAGAAGAAAGTTCTTTCTAATGATATGAGATTTGTAGCATTTGATCAACACATTTGCAAGACAATTTTTGGACAGCACAAATGCAAGCATATTATTTATATAGATTTCTGCAAATGCAACATAAAATCCTATTTACCTTACCACAAGCAACAGCACATTGTTTAGAAGAAAGAAACTTATAAATCAAAATCCTTTTCTTCCATAATACTGTTATTTCCATCAAAATTATAATTTAATTTATGATAATTGGCATGCATTACATGCATTTGTTATAATTAAAAGCTATCTGCCAGTTATTTGCTCAACTCACCAAATGAACCAATACTTTTCTAAAGCATCAGCATCTATGTCATATGAAGCAACATGAGAAAAGGCTTGTTAAAAAATTATCTCTATAGATGTTGGGGGATAAGTTGGTTCATTGTATTGAAAAATCACTAAAGGGAAAAAAAATTAGAGGGTCATTATAAACAGAATTCAGTCAAACTAGATTAATGTCACAAGTGGGGTACCTCTTGGTTCAGTGTTGAGAATTTTGCTTTTTTTGGTTTACATCAATGACATGGATAAAAAAATGGTCAACAAGTTATATAAATTTATTAATCAAATTAAAGTCTTGGGGGCAATGTGTCAAATGTTCTCTGAAAATCCAGATGTACCGAATCCACACATTTGTCCTCACTAACATTAAACAGTAACCTTCTACATAAAAGATTAGTGTGGCAAGATTTTCCCATAGTAAAACCATGATGACTATCCAACAAAAGTTTAAGCTTTGTGAAACAACTTTGCAAGGAATCTTTTATCTGACATTCAAAAAATTTCTTCATCACTAATGTGTGATAAAGACAAAAAGCCCTGCCTCATTGGACATGACTGAATGCATTATTTTGGCCATGCCCATAAGTCCTAGCTTTGGGCATGTCCAAACAATTTTGTGTTTGGAATGCTTTATGGCTCTGTCTGTTTTATTTGCTGGGGATGCAACCTATAAGTTTTGCATCCTGGCTTGTGGGCTACTTGATCACATAACCTAATCAAAGCCTAACTGCTGACATGGACCTCCTGTCAAACAAGCACAGCACAGAAGCTTAAGAGGTTAGCAAAACAATTATTGGTGTCATAAATGGCATTCAATAAGGATTGGGCTTATTACAAGCATGGATTTTTTAATTTAGCTAACTGCTAAGAGGGCAATGTTCATCTAATAATCAGAAATTATTAGAATCTTCAAAAGCTGTAGTGGTTGCTAGCATTATACTTGAAATTATTATTTTATAAACAACTATTAAGTTCATTTGAGATTACTCAATATTAAAGATAATTAATCTCATTGGCTTAAAACTTCTTTCTTTCATTTGTATACTTGGATAGCTCAATTTTCCACTTAATAAGTTTATTTTGTTACTCTCTAATTTGTCCAGATGCTTTAATTTTTTTTTTCACTAAAAGCAAGCTATTAGGATTTGCATTTATGATTTATTATTTGTACTCTTAAATAATGACAAGAATAGAACCTACAATAGGTCACCAGGTTTTATTTTGTACTAGTCAGTGATGATTGTCTCTCAGTAATTACCTTTTTATCTTGTATTCTCTGATTTTCTTGGTAGTCATATTTGTACATTATTCTTTAATCAGTAAAATAAATATTATTAGATAAATATTGACAACAATATCCCAGTGTAACAAACAATGACATATAAAACCAAATATTTTGTTATTTATGACAGCTTTTTATAAACCGAAAACTTCATATCTTTTTGCTTCAGTTAATTAATTCTAAGAGATCAACTCAGATAACTGATTTGTTTTTTTCTATATGAAAATGATCCAAACGTTTCTTCTTATATGGATGATACATATTTTAACATAGTAAGTAACAAGAAAACATTTGAAACTCTTCTGTTGGAGCTTTTCCATGAATTTGACTACTAGTTTTTTGCAATACATATGTATGTATATATATAATTAAAAAACAAAGGTATTTAAATTGTAACAGCACAACAGTTAAAGAGTAATTTTGGTTTAATAGTTAATATTACTGTTAAACCAAAATTACTCTTTAACTGTTGTTTCCATGAAATTATCTTAACCTTAAATTTCTGATATGATCTGACCCCATAATGTGATCAAAATCATTTTGTGTGCATATGCCTAATAGTTTTTGTATAATTATTTAAAAACCTTCCCTTTACAGGCCAGCTTCATTTGTTAATGTAAATTGAACACAACCGAGAGAAAACGAAAAAAGTTATTTCACTTAAGCTAGTTTTTAATTAAATTTATTGTTGATAACTTAAATAACAACACTTAATAATCATTTGTGGATGTGTTTAAGTTATAAAAATAGTATAATGTATTTTTTATTACCTCATTATTAATAATGTGATGTGAATATCACATGTGCTTGCAATCAGTCAGTGTTTGCACTTACCAAAATGCTATCATCATTTGTTTTACTCATGGTGTCCCAAAGTATCAGATTATTTTTATAGTTTCTTAGACAGATGGCTGTACTGTCTTTATATCTTCATTTCTTCATATTAAGTATCGATTAAACCATATGCATTCTGAACTGCTTTGTTCTCAACCATTTCTTTTTATTGACTTAAGAGCTGTTGATTCCTGGCAAATTTTTTAACTTTAGTTTACAGTTTTCTTGTAAGTGTGAGTTAATGAATATTAACTTTTAGTTACACAGAAAATTATTAACTGTCTGCATGTATTTAAATGATAAAGAGCTCATAAGATCCTTATGTGTTTGTTATAAAGTCAGTATGGACAACAAATAAAATTTATTGAAAAATGAGTCTCTCAGCAAAACAAAATGCAAAATTTTACATTTTTTTAAAGCTAAAAAGGTGAGAAACTAAAGAAGCATAATATTGTTTCATTCTTCACATTCAGGTTTCAAACATTGGTAACAGTATTTTGTTATATTTTTGTAGCTTATGACACAAAAGATATTTGTATCTGTTATCCCAGCATCATTTTTTTTTTTAAATTGATATATTTTGTGTTTTATCAGTTGTCAAAAATGATAACTTGTTGTCTGGGTAAAATTAAGTAACTATTATATAATTACATTACTCTATAATAATTGTAAAACCTCATTCAATTGTATTAATGTTTCCAAAATTTTCTTTTTTTTTGTAGCCCCAGGTGTTTCTGTACAGCTAGCATTGTAAATGGTTGTGTCAATACAGTTGTTTTTGTATTTCAGGTTGGCCATGGCCTAGTACTTAGTATGTCTGACTGTGTAGCAGAAAATGTAAGGTTCATGGTGTGATATGCTGCTGAACATGCTCCCACATTGTGTGTCATTGTAGGTAGAAGGTGCTACTCACTGATTGTCCTCCCTCTAGAAAGTAATTCAGTATTAGGAACAATTATACCTGAACCTGGCCATTTAGCCCACGTGTTGCATAAAATGTTCTGCTTCAAAATACAGAAGCCCATAATTTAATTTCTTTCTGTTGACAAATTAGTAATAATAACATATTAGAAAAAAAATATTTTGTACATAACATTAAGTATTTTCACTTGGAGAACATTTATACAAATCTACTGTTTAAATGCAATTAAATATCATGTAGATTTAAACATCCATGCATCAATATGTTCTCAGCCTGCCTGCGTGCAAGCAGGCTGCATTTTTTGTTATTACTGCCCTATTGGATGTAATGTGAGATTAAGAGGCCTGTAATTGCCTGAGCAATTTTTATCACCTCACTTGAAAAGGGGAGTAACATCAGCCAACTTCCAATCTTCTGTCACCTCCTTACTACTCTAGGAATTATGAAAAATAACATCAAGTGGCACACATATACAATTCTTAACCTCCTTCAAAACATTTGGGAAATATTATCTAGTCCAGATGTCTTCTTGTTCTTTAAACTGTTCCCAATTTTTTTAACAGACTCAAAATTAATGTTTCCTTCTAGCAATTGTTCATGATGGGGAATACTGTTTTAATCTTCATTAATAACAATTGTAAAAAAGTACAAGTTAGTAATCCAGTCATCTCATAATCATCAAAAATAAGACTTCTGCTATCATCATTTAAAGGCCCTACTCCCATCCTAACCTTTTGCTTACCCTTGATGTATTTAAAGGAATCCTTACTCTTACTTTTACATTTTCACCTGTTTCATACTCTCTCTTTTGATTGCCAAATTTACTATTTGACTAACTCTTTTGATGTCCTGTAATCCTCTAACTTTCAATTTAAACTTGTTAAATTTGTAATACTTTAATTTTATCCATTATACTCTTAGTGAGCCATACTGATCTGTTACTTACAGCCAGTTTTGCTTTTGTATAAGGTGTGTAAATTGAAGCTAAGAAATGAGTTACTGTTACAAACAAAAACAAATCTCTTTACTTTCAGTTGAACATGTATGGTAATTTTTTTTTTATTCACTTGAAGTATAGTTATTATAAAGTTAACATAGTGTAAATATTCCTTGTATCTTTATGTCAGTTTTCTTTTTTCTTTTTTTAGATTCCACGTAGAATGTATTGTGAAAATTACCACCAAGAAAATGCTAAAAAAGTACCCAAGATCCCAAACTTTTTTAGTGCACGAATGGAAAGCACACTTGGAAGGTTTGACATGGATAACAGGTTGTTGGCCACAGAATATATTTGGTATGATGAGGTGAGAAAATTTAACAGATGAATTTTGAAGAGAGTAAAGGCATTATTGTATGATTCTGTTTATGCTTGTAATACTTTTGGGCAGTGTTTGCCAAATTCTAGGTGCCAGATCACCATCACATAAAACAGTGACATGTGATCTGGGAATTGTTAGGTGTGTTTTTTCTTATTTATGCAGTAATGTTTGCAGTATAATTAAACATCACTGAAAAAAAAATTGGTACAGTATTTGAATCTCCAATATATATTGAACTATACCATAAAGGAAGTCCAAATTGGCATAATTCTGCAAAAACATAGATTTTCAATGTCTTACTGACAGCCAATAAACACGCATAACAGCAAGTAGGCTTTCACTTTCTAAGACAGTTTGGCATTGAAAGATTTTAATGAGGTTTCCATAATTCTACATAGCACAGAAAATAATGCATGATTGGTTCACCTTCAAAACATTGTAAAGATTTAAGTGCACAAAAAAGCAGTGTGTGTGTGTGTATTTAATTTATGTCTAAGATTCATAACTTGCACAAAATTAAAAATTGGGTCACAAATTTTCATGAAACAAAGTTGGGATGACCTTCCTTACCATTCACTGATTAAACAAGTATTCTAGCTTCAAAGATTTATTGCTGGCTCCTAAATGTCAGAGATATCTAGGAATTATTTATAAAACAATTTACTTATGTCATTTATTATGTAATTTGTTTCTAGTGAACAAACTTTGGAAATTCATTCCAATATTAGCTATAAAATTTGAATGAACCAGGAAGCTTGTATTGTTAGCCAGGCACAGCTGAAAGGTCAATATATTATAAATAATAAATATATATAAATGTATAATTTTG